CTACACAGTGGGAATGTGAAAGATGATGTCAGCTCCTCTTCTTCCACTTAACTCTCTGGGGAAAACTCACCCCATCCTTGTCAACAGATTCCAAATGAGCATCGTGGCTATCATAGCATCTTTCTGCTAAGTAAGTGAGAGAGTCAAGTGTTTTCTTCTGAATACAACAGCCTTAAAAAGATTGAGAGCAGTGGTGAAGCCATGGAGTTCTGTGAGGGAGGGTTTTAACGGCATGCAGATGGTTAGCAGTGCTGCTTGTCTTTATTCTGCAAAGTGTGAGAATTTGGGTATTCTTAAAAAGCTAGCAGGATTTGTGTCCTGAAGGCAGGCATTGTAAATAGCAGCTGATCTGATAGAAGCTGTGCAGATAGATCTTGCATATGATTACAGTGTACGGGTAGTGACTATGTTACATAGGTAGTGAGGTTTGTGTGAAGTAACGCTGCCCGACTCGAGAGTTTAAGCTGAAAACTGTGTCTGGGTACTCTTCAAACCTGAATTCTTCAAAATAGTAGAAATACAGGTCATAACATAATGACCTTCAATAACTTTTTTAGAACCTCATTGTCACTATGTACCATACTCAGTGAAATTCAGGAACGGATATAACGTTAGGCTTATAAAAACTGGTATTGCTCTATACTGCAATAATTTTTTGCATTTTATGTGCTCTAAGACTATTTTATGCTGAACTTTTCATCAAGAGACAAAGTCCCTCATGGAATAAGAGTAACAAGCTTTTATCTGGGACTCCAGAGTAAACTGCCAAGATATTGTAGAAGAATTAGATGTACAGCCAACTCATGAACTCTTAACAACTATAACATTTCATATATTGTATAGTCTTTACAAATACCTAGAGCATGCATTTAGTAGATTATCAATCAGAAATACTAGATCTCTGCAACTGTAATGCTGTAAGCTGTTTTAAAGAAACGGAAAAGGAGCAGCTGTGAGAGGCCTATTGCAAATTTGTCTGAAGGAGGTAAGGCACAGTAAACAGTAGTCTTGTTTAAGCTTTCACTGAGAGCGTGTATGTGAATATTCACCATAAAAACAGTAAGAAGCCCCCACTGTTTTTCTGTTACATATGCCTTAAAAAAAGATTATTAATGCTGAAATTCAGTTTTGTTTTAAAAGTAATTACTTCCCGTCTTTGAGAGGTAACAATCCGTTTACTGCCTTTGCTGCTTTATGTGAATGATTAGATCAGCCACCCTGTCCTCTGCGTTCCTTTTCCGTGGTATCCAGTGGAGGCTGCAATAACCTGGGTCTTAATCATATTAGCTGACATTTAACTGATGGCAGCCAAAACATCTGACTTACGTGTGCCCAATATAGTGCTACATAGAAACATTTAAGAGTTGATGTGAAACAAATTTCTGACACTGTATTTCTTGAGACTTGTTGGTTGTTTTTTTTTGTTGAAGCATAGCTGTAATTTACTAATATTTATGGAACTTTGTTATTCATTTTGTGAATTCTATATTTATCTTGCACTAGAATCATAATCAGTTGTTAACTTTGTAGTTGAACTTCAAAGGGTGAAACAAAATTCAAGGCAGTCTCTTAAATTACAAACAGAGATAAAATGACAAACAAGGAAAGGAGGGCACTACAGTCACCAAAATCAAAACTTCTTATTAAGCATAAATGCAGAAGACCTGAAACTCAAGCCCAGATGTCACATTGTCCAATGACACATGTTTATTAATGACTTTTTAGAACAGATCTGCATCTTTACAGCATTCATTGCTCGTTCATCATGCTACAGAACATCTTTAGTTCTCTGTAGGGAAGCTGGAAATGGTGTTGTTTATCAATTGCTGCTGTTGCTGAGAAAGAAAAGTTCTAGTGGCCTGTCCTGGTCCCAATTGCTGTGTTTAGTCAAAAGGCTCCTTCCACTGCAGCTGTGATGTGAGGCAACGCTGGCTGGAGAGAAGGGAAATGCTTTCACTGCTCTGTGCTTAGACTTGAGTTTTTATGATTTTACCTCAGGTTCTGCCTGTGGTAGATGATCTTGGTGGGTTGCACACTGGTTTTCCCAACACTTAGGATATTTTCAAAATTTTTTTATGGCCCTAATATTAAATGTCAGAGAGTTTTTCTAGCATGAAAGTTGCCTCTTATTCTCTTTACTAAGACCAGCTGTGTCAGATGGTGAGACTATTTTCCTTACTACTACTTTTTTGCTTTTTTCCCCCATGGAAATAAGGAGTGAATTACATTTGAAAGCAAAGCTTTGGATTCCATTTGGTGTAGCTGAGCCCTCCTGCAGTGGCCACCTGCCTGAAAAACTGCATCACGTGTGACACTGGCAGCATGGGGGCCCTGTGCAGCCATGAGAAACTCGATCCCATCCTGTTTCCGTATTTTCAGTGCAAGGAAAATAAATTCTGTTGTTTTCTGGGCTTTGAAAGGCTGCTCATTGCTCTGAGGTGTGCGTGTGCTTGCCCACGTTTCCCCTGCAAGCAATGCGCCTGGCACTCGGCTTTCCTCTCTCTCTGCCTGGCTGTGTGTGGCAGGAGCTCTGACAGTTAGGAGAGGACATATAGCTCAAGCT